GGTTCAAACATTTGACTTGTATGATCATCATTGTCTTTAAGTAAACATGTTTGCCATATTCGATTTATTTATATTGTTGTCAAGGAAATATATGTGACAAATAACAAAATTTAAAAAAAAATCAATCCAAAACAAGTGTGATTTAACTATGCTTACCTCTGTGGTAGCCAAGACATCTGAGAATTTGTTTGCTTTGACATTTATTTGAAAAAGAAATAATACAAAACTTATCAAATGTGCAGTTATATATTTGAAACAACATGTTTATTCTTGCAGAAAAAGTGATATTATTTCTAACTGATGGGGAGAAAACCGCAGGCGGAGACCCCTTATCTCTAATTGCCAAAAGGAACGGTGACCTTGAAAACGAGATTATAATCCTGACGTATGGACTCGGAACCTGTAAGCACTCATAAAATTTATATCTCGTAAAGTTGTTATTAACACAAAAAGACAAACTTTTTGTTAAAAGCGAAACGTTCTTATGAATCGTTAAGAAAACCTTACATAATACAGCCCTGAGACATGTTCATACAGGTTTTAAACACATTATATTAATTTTTCATTACTTCTGCAATATAGGAAGCTGCAATGGCTTGACTATTCTGTATGTAATAGAAATTTGAAGCCAATCTATTCCAAGACTGGGCTAATATCTGATAACCTTTTATATTCACATTATATTTAATATTTATATAATTATGATGTTTTTTTCTTTAACATTACCTATGTCGTGATCGTTGTATGGCGAAGACTTTCCGTGTAGACATGCAAGACAGCGGGGGGGGGGATTAGGGCGTGGCAACATACTAAACCCTATCTCTGCGTTGTTCAATTTAAATGAAATGAAATGAATTCAAATATATACGACACTATAAACTGTATTATAGTAAAAGCAATTATCTTTGTATGCTTTCTATTCCATAAGATATGAAATCAATAGAAATAGACGCGGAGACACACTCACATCCGGTAGATTCACATTTTACGATATCTCTTCACGGAATGAAATTGTTATGGCGTTCGAGTCTTTGTCCTGAAAGTGAATATTTACCCTGTAGGGTTCCTTAGACTTAGTAAATAGATATTTCTAGAGTGATGTTTCAGTGATATATCGTTTTAAGGCATTGCCTTTATTCATCTTTAAATGGCATTAATCGTGTTATTTCATTTTTGCCCTATACTAGTAATTGGCCTTGGCTTGTATTGACCCTCGTCCTATGCATTCACGTTTTACTCTTGAGCAAAATTTCAACACCTTGCAGTAACAAGAAGTACGGTATATATGCAAACAGTGACAATATGTAAATAAAGTTATATCCCCTACAGTTTACAACAAATCGCAACTGTTCAGCAGTATTTGCAAAGAAAGTCTATAAGGCCAGCTTGCCCCTTACGGGTTTTGAACCCACGCGGCCAGCAATCCTTAGATTACTAGTCCGACACTTCGATTGGGAGCATTTGGCAGATACGCGATGACGTAGGGTCCTATCGTTGAATAAGCTAAAGCAAATGCATTCATTAAGAAATGATAACCGGTTGCATGGTTGTGTCTTCGAGTAAAGGAACGAACAGCATATAAAAACGGTATCATACGTTGCAATTCCGTTTTCCTCTGCCATCTTTGGTGTCTGCACAAAGCTATGGAAAGTCTACGACGTACAGACTTCAGGACAGTTATCATTACTGCAGAAAACAATTTACTAAAATTTAGACGTTTATTTGGTATAATAATGAAATGATTGAGTTTGTAAATGTGCAAGAAATGCGTTGCTATAAAATGAAATTATCATTAATTACGTAATTTCATATCAACTGTATCATTTTGATTTAGACAGTAGTTTTGATAATCAGCTTTCTTGCTCGTGCTTTAGAAAATGTTCTTGTCCACATACGAAAGTACTTAATGTATCGAAATAGATTTATAGAGTTATTTGTATTATCTTTTGCTACATAAATTAATGTTTTCTCTTTGCTTACTTAAAAACGCCCCAATTTGAAAATCTCAATAATCTTGCAGTAGCTTACCTCTTCCGCAACACCTCTACCGTCAACAGCCTTAACAACTTTGGCATTATGTACATATATTGGTTATATACTACTAATGCTTGCACATATTTTCGGATAATTAAAATCGAACTATATTCAATGTCATGACCCACTTGCGAGCGGCCGCGTTTGTTGATAAACATTCGTTTTTCGGTATTTTTTCTCGGCAATGATCAAAGCAGTTTACTTCAAACTTGGTTATTGTGTTCGTTTGTACGAATGCCATTAATATTGAACTGAAAAAAATCCTTACATTGATGTTCCTTTGCTTTTGATATTAAGAAAGATGGAGCTTACTTTGTTTAGTATTTGCATGCATGTTTTACACTATTTTAAAATATTACAGCACTTCCAGAATCCGCAATATTAATGCTAACACAAATGGCTGATCAGTCAAACAGTGATTCAACAAAAGGCGAAATTCAGGTATTTTGGTATTCAAATTTTAAAGTGTACTTTACATGCGTCTGTGTCAGTAGTTTCCACACAGCTTAATATCATCTGAATTATCTTTCAATCTGGACAAAACCATTCAGCACGTTTAGTACAATTATGAAAATATAGATACATGTATATTGACTGAATAGTGAACAGTGCTTACCATGATGAGACAACACATATGAGGTTGCTGGCCTTGGTCTGCAATGGTACCATGGGTAGAATCTGCTGGCATTGTTTTACATTGGTCGCATGGATAGAATCTGCTGGTATTGGTCTTCAATGGTCGCATGAAAAGAATCTGCTATCCTTGGTCTACAATGGTCGCTTGGGTAGAATCTGCTTGCCTTGGCTTGCAATGGTCGCATGGGTAGAATTTGCTTGCATTGGTCTGCAATGATCGCATGGATAGAATTTGCTTGCCTCGGTCTGTAATGGTCGCATGGATAGAATTTGCTTGCCATGGTCTGTAATGGTCGCATGGGTAGAATCTGCTTGCCTTGGCTTGCAATGGTCGCATGGGTAGAATTTGCTTGCCTTGGTCTGTAATGGTTGCATGTGTAGAATTTGCTTGCCTTTGGCTGCAATGGTTACATGGGTAAAATCTGCTGGCCTTGATCTTCAATAGTTGTATAGGTAAGATCTGCTGGCCTTGGTTTGTAATGGTTGCATTGGTAGAATCTGCTTGCCTTGCGCTGCAATGGTCGCGTGGTTAGAATTTGCTTGCCTTAGTCTACAATAGTTGCATGGGTAAGATCTGCTGGCCTTGGTTTGCAATGGTCGCATTGGTAGAATCTGCTTGCCTTTGGCTGCAATAGTCGCATGGGTAGAATTTGCTTGCCTTGGTCTGTAATGGTTGCATGTGTAGAATTTGCTTGCCTTTGGCTGCAATGGTTACATGGGTAAAATCTGCTGGCCTTGATCTTCAATAGTTGTATAGGTAAGATCTGCTGGCCTTGGTTTGTAATGGTTGCATTGGTAGAATCTGCTTGCCTTGCGCTGCAATGGTCGCGTGGTTAGAATTTGCTTGCCTTAGTCTACAATAGTTGCATGGGTAAGATCTGCTGGCCTTGGTTTGCAATGGTCGCATTGGTAGAATCTGCTTGCCTTTGGCTGCAATAGTCGCATGGGAAGAATCCTATAATGCTTGCATGCGATCGCTAAGCGTTTCATTAGAATAAAAACAAAAGAATAGGCTATGCTTATTGAAAAAGTATTTATGCGCGGACCAAGCACTTTAGTATGGTGGCTAGCGATAACACGACGCACAAAAGCGTTCTAAATCAGCCACCATACTTTTAACATGTGTTTAAGGTGAACAATTTCCGTTTACTTTTCAGAAAGGAATATTTGAACATATAAGGGATCCGTCCAAGCTTCGGTCGGCCATGGCATCATATTACAACAAATTCAGCAAGGGCAGCACCCAGGAAGAGGCCACTTTCACTGTACCATATTACGACATGTTTGGCTTAGGTAATTTAGGTTATAAATTCGAATAAGCATAAATGCGTGCGTGCGTGCGTGCGTGTGTGTGTGTGTGCCTGCGCGCAGTATCAGTATCTTGAAAAGAATGAATTTTCTATCTTTCCATGTTCAATAAAGCCGTCAGCACATTTGCATAAACAAGGCTAAACCTGCCAAAACTTCAGTTGAATATTGTGTTAGTTAAGGTTTTAATCCTTTTTCCTTAAATTCTTCATGTGATATAATTAATAAATTCAGTACTGTTTTTGTTAAAGTTTACTTAAGATATGGTCGTAGGTATATGAAAATGCATTTTTCAAAAATATTGTAAATTCTGCTAGAAGTGGAAACCGTGGCTTAATGATAACTCGAATGCAAAACGTCTCCGAAATCGGTTCGTATAGCTTAAACACGGCTTATTTCAAATAACTTCTCAAGGTCTTGGCCCAGTCAATTACGTATGTTCATGTTTTTAATGAATTATATACAATTTTTTACTTTAAACATCAACACTGAGTCAAATGAAGCTAGAAATATAATATGGTAGCCATCTACTTTTTTCAGAAATCTTCATTCTGTTTGGTTTATACAGAATTTATTTTAGTTCGATTGTGTAGGAAGCTATAAGCTTATAGACACACTTTCGAATCCGTTCCTGGAACCAACCAGTACTGAGCAATGTGTGTAAAGTTTCTTGCTCAATGAAACAACGACTTGCCCCTGACAGGGTTTGAACTCATGCGGCTAGCGATCATTCTGTTTAAATTCACCACTTTAAAAACTCCTGACAGCTGGCGGTAAATACATGTATTATCCTTCAGCCAACAAATGAGGTCTTGGAAACTGCACAAAAACTACTTTTAAAGTAATCATATAACACACAAAAACTACTCAGATGCAATTAAAACACTTTAATTATGACTAATCAAAATAGAGATGATTTTAATTGGTCCCACTTCAAAATTTAAAAGAACTACTTTCTAGACTGGTTAGTTCCGTACCTGGGGCCGTACCGGGTGACAAGACAACACATATACAAATACTTATTAATAACTTACACGGTATAGACATGAGGTGGGTCAGATTGCTTACCGTCTAGATGCCATCTCCTTGTTGACTTACAATACATCATGAGTGAAGACAATATTCGTGAGTTGCTCGATATATATTTGATTTAACACCCTTAGCTAAAATTAAGATAATATATTACACTTACATGTAATTGTTATCTGTAGTGAAAATTTAAGCAAACAAATAAAAGAAAAAATAAGAATACAAGATCAAATAATTTAAAACATGAAGTTATGTGGTGTTATGGGTAATAACTCAAACAATTTTGCTTCATAGCAGAGTTTTTATTTTGTGTCATGTGATAAAAGAAGGCTACAAGCATAAGGTGATCGAATGAAGAGCAGTTAGATTATAGTCACAATCAGTATTCTAATAATTAGTATAAAATTTTTATTTTAGGACTACTCACATCGCTTTGTCTGCCACTTTACAAGCCTGATCTCTCCTTATTCGGAGTCGTCTGCTCCGATCTTACTATGTCAAATCTCGTGTCTGATATCACCTATTTCCGCCAGGGAGAGAACTCTTACTCTTTTATCATTGACGGCAGAGGGCGCACCTTGATGCATCCTCTCCTACCGTTGCCGTCACAGGCAAGCGATGACCCAATTTACGTGGACATTCAACATTTAGAGAGACAAAGTGATGCCAAGGAAGTCATATCATCCATGAAAAGGTAAAAAAGTTTATATTAGGGGCTGTTAAATTCACATGCACTTATTTACTACTTTCTAAATCTCTTTCAAATATTTCATGAATTTTAACTTGATTGAGATAACATGATAATGCAATTAATTTTTCTCAGCTATCTGTTGATAATGATCAAAGGACAAAACATTGATGATTCTACACTCTTTCTACAAACGCTCGACCGATGATTCTACACTTTCTACATTCGAACTATTAATACTCTCGACTGATTATTCTACATTCTTTCTGCATATCTTTCACACGTTTTTCATATGACTTGAATTGACTTCGCGTTTACTTATAGGAAAAAATTGGTATGGATAATAGGAAAGTCCTTGTTATTTATTAACATATATGTTTGTCTTTTTTTTCAGTGGGATAAGCGGAAGTAAGACATTTTTCTCAACACGGACTTTTTCACGAGGGTCTGTGGACTATGAAGGAATACACACAAAGTCAATAAATTCTACATATACCTGGACTCCTGTAAGTGATATTTATTTATCTTTTAGCTTGAATCAATTTTCATCTTGAACATTTCCCTTGTAATTTTATAGAGGATATTGAAGATTTAGTACTAGATTTATTGAAAGTGTTGAATAAAATATAATGAATTAGACGTTGAAAAGTTCATCCCGTTAGGTGAAAAGGCGAGATTTCTAGTATAGCATTTAATCATTCAAACTCTTTATCCGGTATGGTATTTAGTGTGGTGCTCCAACACTGTTTTTGGTCTCACTCATACTACATTCCAATACGCACATTAGATACATGTATATACAAAACACAAGCTTGAGGCTTTAAAAATGTTCTGTGAAAAAATAGACAACACTTAGTTTCTTTCTTTTAGGTACCGAGAAGCAATTTTTCTTTGTGCATTGTTGCCGGAGTGGGAGACCGCCAGTCAAATATTGAGCCATTACAACCGCGTGCTGATACGTTTTTCTACCACAGAACTGATCTTGCTGACAACACGATATCTTACTGTAACAATTTTAACAGATATTCTACAAAAGGTATGCCAAATCAGTTGCCCCCTTCCCTCTCCGCCCCTTCCCCTCGATTGCATGCCTTCCAGGAACTCAACACACACATACATACTATTGCCGCACTGGTTTCTTTCTTGAAATACGGAAGATCAAAATGTCTATTCTGGTACACGCTCATACTTGAAATAAACCACTGAACCGGCACTTGATGACATCACAAATAAAACTGGAAGACCTCTATATGACATTGTAAGTGTCAGTGTAACTTTGTCTGTTAAAATCCGCACGTGCAATTAAAAAATCTTTTTTTTTAAGTATTTATACAAGTGATTTACAGATTTTAAGCTAGTCTTTTATACTTCCGTTACTATTTTTAGACAGGTCGTCTGTTATGATAACCCCAGGAGGTTTTATCAACCCAACGTCATATTTGGAGACGGAAGAGACTTCACATGAAGTTGAAAAGTATACAAAATTCTTAACCGGGGTGACAAGCAATAATCCTGGATTCAGGGTATGTAAACAACACTACGGGAAATATTTAGAAATCTACTTTTGAAGTTTATTTGTTTGGGTTTTAGTTCAAACACGACGATACTGTATTGGCCATATGACGACGTTCCGGCTTTACTGGTGGAGGAAGACCTCAGATGCCCTTTCTTGCATTATTTCAGACCTGAGTAGAATTACCGACGTGCCGTAAGCTACCTGGATAGCTTCCTCATATGAATGAATCTCTGTCCGGATTCAAACCCACAGCGGTGAGGGGAAAATGACTTGAAGCCAACGACCTTACCCACTCGGCTACGGACGCTCCGTTACTTTTCAAGAGCTTATGTACACGATTCACATCTCACAAGTAAAAGTTATCAGGATGTCACGTGATGTGCAAAATTTCTTGAGATATTAAGCCTTTAACTATATAACATGCCAAGTATTACTGTAACTAATTAGAAGGGTTCCGATTCTTCCACAAGGGATTTAACATAGCTGTAATTCAATAGAGCAAAAAAAAAGTTTTTTAGTTCACCAGTTTGCTACATATTTGTTTTTATGAATGATATATTGATAATATATGGAAATTGCTTAATATTTTTATGACTTTTCAGCCTACAATTATTAACTCGGTGACAGCAACATTTAAAGCTGAGGAGATTTGGAGAAACAATATAGAAGCCGGGAAACGGGTTATTTGGCGGTATCTGGGAACCACTGACGGTGTAGTGCGTATTTTCCCGGGAATCCAACTTCCGAAAAACTATGACATCACAAGACGGCCATGGTAAGCCTAACTATGCCGATCTTTATTATTATATTAGATAATAATGTTTTAGATTATAAAAGTTCTAATGTATCGGTCATGCGTTTGTTACATGCACATATTTAACATTTAAATTTTGTATTGCTCTGATGTATGGGGAATTCATAATTTTAAGGAGTTGGACAAACTTCATATCAAATTTTGTAAAATTGTTTTAGGTGTTAAACAACAAACTCCAAAAGTGGCATGCACGTACTCGAATAGAAGACATGTCCAAATTGGAATATTAGAGAATGTATAAACAATGTTTCAGTTTTGAAAAATATTTGGAATGTGTTAATATAGATAAATTTAAAAAATGCATGTCAGGCTTTAGATTAAGTTCTCATAGTTTAGAAATTGAGGTTGGTAGATATCAAGGTATACATAGAAATTGACGAATCTGTAATACCAATTTATGTGAATCGGAATATCACTTTTTGTTAACATGTCCTACATATTCAGAAATAAGAACAAAATATTTAGGTAATTGTTCATGGCCTAGTAGGCAAAACTTATTTGCAAACATTATGTCCTGTATTATGTAAAACTGCCAAATATTTGTATGAAGCATTTCAAATAAGGAAAAGATTTGCTGTTTTTAATCTGCATTATATAAATACACTTCATTATACTGTATATCTGTGACAATTTGTGTAGGTAATATGTATATTAATTATGTGCAAGCACTGTATTATGTACTGTTTATATGTTTATGTTGTCTTGGCCATATTCTTCACTTTTCATTTGTTAAATAGATCATAGGCATGTTATAATGCCGATTTGCTGAATAAACTGTGCTGCACTGAACTATAATATTTTCTATATGCGCATGCGCAAACAAATAGAGCAGACGTTCTGTCTTAATGCCAATTACATATTGTTTTGTTTCTCCAGGTATGAAAGATCAATTGCTAACAAAGGCAAGATGGTTCTTTCCACACCTTATGAAGACCTTTGGGGATCCGGATATCTTATCACTTTATCAACGGCAATCACAGAACCGGGGTAAAATATAAATAAATTTACTGTAAACATCATGTAAAGAATTAAAGTCATGAAATCATTTACGTTTATTTGCATTTCTTTTGCCCAATATTGAAATAAAGCTTATGTTTCTTTCGCCTAATATAGAAATAAAGTTTGTGCGTGTTCATTTACATACATAATTATGATAATGATATTATGCAAGGGATAATGCCACTAATCGCCATATATCATGATAAAAATGTTGTAATGTGCACAGTGGCACACAGCTTTTCTGAAATAAAAGTGTCCAGTAAAGATAAACCGAGAAAATTCTCTCTCTATATATATATCCTTGTAACCCACGAAATACACAGAGGCTCGCATGATATTATTGTATTCAACTCGTTCAATAAGTTCAGTATTGAACTTACACTTATCCTAAGATATCATATACTTAATGTATTTCAAAAAATATGTTTTGTGAGACAGGCAGTTTTAAAAGAAAATGATGATCTATATATTCCAGATCTTCGAAACGCACAATAGCGATAGCGGGGACCGACTTTACCATGTCATATCTGTACAATACTTTAATTACAATACCTGCATATGAGGAAGTATGTAACAACGGGCAATATGAGTAAGTATGTCAAGGTACAGTTTCTTTTTGTGCAATACTTCAATATGAGATAGTATGTAACAACGGGCAATATGAATTAGTATTGTCTAGGTGCAGTTTCTTTTCGTGCAATACTTCAATATGAGGAAGTATGTAACAACGGGCAATATGAGTAAGTATTGTCAAGGTACAGTTTCTTTTTGTGCAATACTTCAATATGAAGAAATATGTAACAACGGGCAATATGAGTTAGTATTGTCTAGGTACAGTTTCTTTTTGTGCAATACTTCAATATGAGGAAATATGTAACAACGGGCAATATGAGTTAGTATTGTCTAGGTACGGTTTCTTTTTGTGCAATACTTCAATATGAGGAAATATGTAACAACGGGCAATATGAGTTAGTATTGTCTAGGTGCAGTTTCTTTTGGTGCAATACTTAAATATGAGATAGTATGAATTATTGTCTTGAAGCTACTCCTGTACATTTCGATATAATAAAAGCAATGCAATTGGCCCAATCCTAATAATGTCTCGTTGTTTATTATACCCAACAGCTTTTAAATAGAATAAATAATTCATTTTCGTTTAAGCAAGTGAATTAGAAAATAATTGCTATATTTATGGCAGTTTAAGTCTTTTTTTTCCTTAAATTCATGAAATCAGAATCGAATGTTCTTTGTAAATTAAAACGCTTATGTACACATACATGTATATTTATTACAAAACATTGACCAATAAAATGTCTGCAATATTTTTATAGATGCTTTCTGATAGATGACAGCGGCTTTATCGTTCTACATCGTGACTTTGTGCAACCATCAACGAAACATCCTAATTTAGAAAATGTCCATCTTACGTATAAGGTATTTGAACTAATCACGAGTTTTATTATATTCGGTAGTCCGGATTAACCAGCACAAATGGTTAATTAAAAGTCTAAGTTCCTGACATTAAGTGTTTTTTGTTTTTGTCTTTTTTTTTTGTTTTTGTTTTTTTGTGATCACATTTTTTAATTATTTACACTTCTTACACAAGGTATAGTGTAGAAGATTTGATATTCTTTATCAGTTTTTTTTAAAGTTTCTTGAATGAACTCGTTCAGCTTCCACATTCAGCTCCACTTATTATTATAAAAAACAACACATGTCGCTCAGGGTAACAATGCATATTAACAACCCCAAAACTGAAATAACACCCTCGGCTCCGTATTGGGTGTTATTCCAGTTCAAGGGATGCTTAAGTGCACTATTACCTCGAGAGACATGTTGTTTTTTTTTATACCGAACCAACATATTAATATTGTAAAACATTTTAATATAGTAAAAAGTTAACGTGTGCAGGGCGTCCAGGTGAGAGAACTATACATTGTAACTAGAACATTACGTTTTCTTAAGTCTATAGATTACACGCCCTTGGGGAATATTGCAAATGATATTCATTTCGAGGCTGATAGATCGAAATAAAGTCATGAGACATCACATTAGGCTATAAAGTAAAAATGTTTACAAATATATTTATTAACTGTTTAAATGAAGCTCTCCAAACTAACAAAATACCATGACAGCTACAATCCATTACACAGACTAAGCAGAGTAAATATTACAGTGATTTTTTACCTCTGCATCCTGAGTCCAGAACTCAATGAATTTGTTGTGGATGCAAAGTTTCAAATAATATGCATGTTATGGACGCATACTTTAGGGAGTCCTGTCTGACAGGAATTTGGTAATAAATACCAAATTGTGTTCAAGTTATGTCAATTATATTCTAGGTATGCAAATCTTCTACAGATAAGAAATAATAATGTGCTATACTATAGATAAGCATAAAAATATTATGGAAAATGAAGTTTTAATTAATATCAAACTAAATTAATGGAAATAAACTTATTAAATTTATTTGACAGTTTTGAATAATTTCAGTATCAAAAGCATTGTAATTAATGTAGAAATCAAATTCATTTTTTCTCAATTCCATTGCTAATATACCTTTCATATCACTATTTAAAGCAATATTAAGCCTTGTAACTTGGATTTGCCGGCTAAATTTTGGGACTCATAGATTTATAGCCCAGCGAGTCCTAGGACCCACACTGATGAGTTTGTAAAAAAAAATCTCTGTATTATCATTATATAAATCCATGTGTTTTCAGGAACCTGCAATTGCAGACGATTTAGTTAGCAACAATGTCATGGTGAAATCGAAATGTATTGATTTTGAAAATATAAAAGAGCAATATAGCTACAGGGTAAGTTGATATTTCAAATTAGATTGTATTGTGACTTTCGTGTAGGATGTGCTTACCTGTAAGATTTCATTTAGATTATTTTCTTTCTTATACTTGTTTTTGTGTAATTTTGCTTGTTTATGTGAAATCATGTTTGTTCATGTGAAATTATGCTTGTTTCTGTGTAATTATGCTTGTTTATGTAAAATCATCCTTGTTTATGTGCAATCCTGCTAGTTTAGTTTATGTGTAATCATGTTTGTTTATGTGTAATTAAGCTTGTTTATTTAACATCAGTCTTGTTTATGTGTAATTCGAATAAAACGACTTTTGCGATATGGTTTTATTTTTCTAGAAAATTGTAAAGAACTTTTAATATTTCTTTAAAAATTTATAAATTTCTACTGATTATAGAAAAAGGTGCATAGTATTTCAAATTAAGTATCATATGAATATTCGTAAATAAATACACGATGATGCTGTAAGTCCAGACTTGCCCGAACATTAATGTTGTTACGTGTCCGGTTTTTGCCCGTACGGTATCCGGGCTTGTATTGCCCATATTATTTAAGTGTTTCGTGTCCAGGTTGCCGTACTTTGATACTGCTTGGTGTTTGGGTTTTGCCGTACTTTAATATATAGTATAAACCTTTTTAGGTGACGACATCCTCATCTCAATACGACAGGCTGTCATCATATGCCAAGTATGAAATCCGACCAGTTGAAAACACGAACATTTTCATTATAATAAAAAGGAAGCTTTATATACCAGGACAAACTATATGCTGCAAGGTAAGTATTTATATCTAACATATTTTATCAGTGGAACTCTAGTGATATCTGGAACTGATTATCAAACCATCTGAAAACTGATACAAATGTAGCCAAGATTAAGGACATTTATATATAAAAAAATGATAATATCGGTATCGGATTGAACATAACTTTTGCAATAGGAAATAGCCTCTAAATAGAAGTCTTGAAAAACGTAGTGGCATTCTTTATAATTTGCCGCCTTCTTATATGTGCATGAAAATTTGAATTATATATTACTCGATAAGCAAATTTTCAAATGCAAGCTTTTTTGTAAAAACGAAGGCGATTTTCCTTTTTTATATACATTTTCTTGCTTTATATATGAAAAATATGAACATGATAACTGCCGTATGAAAACATCTGCGGATGTTTCTAAATTTTACTATTTCATGTTTAAATGTTGAATTCTGCTTAAGCCGGTGCTAGGGGGCGTGGACGGTAACTTGCACTTTCCAGTACCGTCCATGAACAGGCTCAATCAAACCGAGTCTGCAACATTTTCAATGTTGCCGTGTTGGGCTTTCTTTAGGGATTCTGTATTTATCTATATTTGTATCTATTTCAACAACAATATATTTCAGACGTACGGGCAATCGCCAAGTGTGTTAGCATGTAAAAGGTCCAAATGTGACTGCCTCTGCTATACGACCACTAATTTTAACTACTGTCTGAACGAATACGAGCTGCTTGCGTGAGTATACATGTTAATCACATATAACTTGGTACATTCTAAACAGCCCTGTACTAAAAATAAATATGTATATATATGCTATTGTAATAAGAAATTGATTTGTTATTGGCAGTTCTTCACTAAAATAAATTAAGATATATTTTTAAAGTAAAATAATAATTAACAAGCAACTGTCATATAAATATGAACGTTCTTATATGTAAATGTTGATATTTTGTTTAAAGGTAACCGTATATACTTTCTGTGTATGTTACATACTTGATTTACAACATACAGAAATTTTAAAGGCCAAATAAGCCTCAGACAATCAACGCTTTTCGTTTTTGTGCCTTGTAACAGTCTCAAAATGTAAAGTCAAATACCATCTGAAGTGTTCCTTGACCAATTAATCTGGGGGGGGGGTAGGCAGTGCAATATGACATTAAAGTCGTCGGTGTGATTTAAAACCCAACAAAAACATAATAGCTGTTTTATTGCTTTATTGTTTGAGAATTTGTTATGAGTTAAAGCACATATATGATTAATATATTCTTTAGAGATGCAGCGCCAACTTGCGCACCTCGCACCCCAGCTCTAGAGACAGAAAGTATTTCTGAAGTGGAGAAGATCAAAGGTATTCAAAGATGTTTCCTAACAGAATGCGAAAAACAGACGTCCATGAGGTATATTTTCTCTCTATAATGATTTGATAATTAATATTTTGGACACACAGTTTCATTAAAAATATATATCTGAATATATATTTTATTGTTAAACTCCCATAGACCTATAATTTGTTCTGATCGAATATCACCCTCGAATACCCCCTTGAAATATTTGTTACATCACCCTCGGCTCATGAATATATGAATATCACTCTCATAGAGAATATTCCCCGAGAGATATTTGCAATATAACCTTTGGCTCATGAATATCACTCACATAGAGAATATTCCCTAAGAAAATATTTGCAATATCACTTTTGGCTCATGAATGTCACCGTCAGAGAAAATATTCCCTAGGAGATAGTGGCTACATCACCATCGGCTCATGAATATCACTCTAACAATGAATATTCCCCGGGACATACTAGTATTTGTAACATCACCCTCGGCTCATGAATCTTACCGGCTCATGAATCTTACCGTCGTAGCTCTAGAATATTCTACTTGAGATATTTGTTACATCACTTTCGGCTAATAAAAATCACCCTTAGTTTTCAGAGTATATTCCCTTGAGATATTTGTTACATCACCCTCGGCTGGCTCATGAATATCACGCTCATAGAGTATATTTCCCGGATATAATTATTAAAATACCCTCAGTTAATGAATATCACCTTCATAGAGACTATCCTCGTGGAGAATTTTGTTATATCACCCTCGCCTCATGAATTTTACCCTCATGGCTAATTGTTCCCCGGCAAACAATTTGTTGTATCACCCTCGGATCGTGAATACTAGTATCGCCCTCATTAAGAACATTTCCTGTGAAATATTTCTTATATCACTTTAGGTAACATATATATTGTAATTTTCCAGTTCTTGAGTTGACAATATCTGTTATCACAATGATGTGTTAATTATATAATATTGGCCAATTAAAAACAAAAAAAGTAAAAAGATCTTTAATTTTCCCCCACATAATCTTAGATAAATGAACAGCTATATTGAAAAAGTATGTAGTTATAGATTTTATCAATATCAGTCTTGAAACATGTTTACCACCTGTATAAATGCAACTAATGTTTTTTAGCGGCTGTCACGGAATATCTGGATGTAGTTGGTGTTCAAAAGGCCAAGATGTTAAACCTCTAGCTTCACCATATTGTACTAGACAAGAAAACTGCTACTTTGGAATTGAAGGTTTATCACAGTGTCCATCAGGTATGTTGTTCTTTTCTAACTTACAGACATTTACAGATTAAAGAGGGGTGTCCGTGGCCGAGTGGTTAAGGTCGTTGACTTCAAACCACTTGCCCCTCACTTCTGTGGGTTCGAATCCCAACAGGGACTTTGGATTCTTTCATGTGAGAAAGCTATCCAGCTAGCTTACTGAAGGTTTGTGGTTCTACTCAGGTGCCCGTTCGTGCCTGAAATAATGTACGGAAGGGCACCTAAGGTCTTCCTCCACCAGTAAAGCTGGAACGTCGCCATATGACCTATACTGTGTAGGTGTGACGTCAAACCCAATCAAACAAACAAACAGATTGAAGACAAAAAAATGAAATATTTTCACACATGCTGAACATTGCAGAAAAGTAAAGTAATTGATTGATGTCTCAAAACAAGAAAGAAATGGTCAATCTGTCAAGATTACACGGTGTAACCTTTACCAGATACACGCCCGGCAAACTGTCGCTCCACTTCAAAATTGTGATGTACGGTAAAACGAGCGAACGGCATTTCCGAGATAGAGCGGAAGGCCGATTTAAACAGATAATTGTAAGTGTTGTTTATGTTTTTGTCTTGTTATTCCTTTAAGTTGTATTTTTTCGAAAAACGGAAAACGTAGTTCCGTGTAGGATTGTTTTAGGCTTTCAATGATCTAAGCTGTTGCAAAATAAACTACTCATGGTGGATTTCTGAAATTTGGATATCGATTTTTTTCGAAAGTAGTGGAGCCAAAGGGCAAGAGATGGAGCGAAAGGTCGGTTGTTGTGCGCAAGGCGACATAAATTAAGTTGGTGTAAAGAGCATAGTCTACGAATTTCTACAAATAAAATCTTTCAAAGTTAAAATAGACGTACTAAAATGTGAAGCCTGAGAAATATGATAAGATATTAATTTTATTTCTACTATAACTAGGTCTTTCAATTATTAATAATTTTAGTCCGTACACCGACTGAGCACTACCTTTTTTATTACGTTCGGTTTGTTCATAGATAATCTGAATAAACGAACAAAATTTTACAGATATTTCTGTTAACTTATTTTTTTTCTTAAATTAATCAAGATTTGTACTGACCATATGCAGTAGTGAACATTTCCATTTATACTTTGAGAGGAAAATAGTAAACTAAACAACAATGCTAAATAAGAAAGGAAGTATCTTGAAACATAACAGAAACACTAATATAACCCCCAACCCCCGTTACACGGGTCTCGTATACCCTTCCCCTATGCCCCTTTACTTTGTGAGCCTGTTAAGTAGTCATTTATCTTTTTCTTTGATTGCCCTCTGTCCTGTTTTTGTTTAAGGGCCTCCTGGGCTCCTTGCCACCGGTTCTTGTTGCTGGACGTGTGGGGGTGGCGTTCATTGGACGCCGCCTTTCCTTGTTGATCTGGTTTATCATATTTCATATCCTTAGAATGACTGTCACTTTGTCAACCATTTTCATAGAGATTTCCCACCTTACAAAAGGCTTTCTATTTAATGCAAACATGGCTTTTTGTTTTTGATCTGAACATTTATATACGTTAGAGCTATTAATTACAGAAAGTCATAGTAAAATGAACTCGGTAGTAGTGATCCATTTTATGTGCCCCCTGTATTGCATAATTTTGTCTCTGTTCTTCATCTTTAATATCTAACTTTTCGAAAAACATAGCATTTGGCGGAACCAATCGCGTTACATGTACCTGCTCGGAAACATTTGTTCGCGGTAGAACTGAAAATATTTGATTTTGTCGAATTTGCACGGACACACGTTTTTAAATGTACATAACCGTGTCAAAAATCATGATTGACCTCGAATAAGTGGCATCCTGTATTACGCCATGCATATGATTCAATGATCGGGCCTCATCTAAATTTTGAACATAAATAATGGAATCTATACGGCAGCCATAGGTGACACCTTCGCGATTACATTTATTACGCTGTAGTTGTTGAAAGGATATAACGTCTTTAAAAGGTATATATATCTCAGTCTAAACATTTGATCATGTCTATTTTAACTTCTAAAGCTATTATTATATAAAAATTCATAGACCACGCTCCTCCCAATATGTCAAATTAATATTGCCTTGCGCTCAACATCGAAACTTTCGCTCCATCTCTTGCTCTTTGGCTCCACAATCGATATACACATTTCAGAAATCCACCAAGAGTAGTTAATTTTGCACTAAAGACTAGTTCTTGTTACGGGTTAATAAATTTGTAAATTAAACACTTTTTCAAAAAATCCTAAGAGTAGAGCGTTTCCATGGTTTGAAGATATATATTTAACAAATCGTCGTTCACTTCGTCAGGGGAAAAAGTTTCCCTCGGCTTGATATAATTTTCTTTTTGTAACACCATAGATCATTTGCACCCTAAATCAATCCTACACGGAACTACATTTTCCGTATTTCGAAAAAATACTACTTAAATGAATAACAAGACAAAAACATAAACAACACTTACAATTAACCGTTTAAATCGGCCTTCCGCTTTATCTCGGAAATGCCGTTTGCTCGTTTTACCGTACACCACAATTTTGAAGTGGAGCGAGTTTGCCGGGCGTGAGATATTAAGCAATCAGTGTCACGGAAAAGTTACCGCCCTTTTCGGATGTGACGTAAATGGGGACCGTTTTGGAACGAAGCGACCGGTGGATATTGATTTTGATCGATATAATATTTTAATGATTATAAGCTTACGTTTTAATGGCAATTTTGCCTCAGAAACAAATAAATTTTACTTCTTAAGAAAGGACAAATATGAATTTTATAATGTTTAGATATTGATTTTAGAGAATGTTAGATGCTTGTTACCTGAAGAAAGTAGCGATGAATATGAACTTATTTGTCATAAAAGTAGCAAACTGTAAACAAAGTAGTATTTTGACTTCCAAACAAAATATTAATTCACTGTAACTGTACTTATTGTCAAAGAGCAACAGAGGCAAATGAGTAACTTTTTGGATACTAAAAAAGTACTGTACACCAAAATTACAAAGTTTTTGGGAAATAAAAATGAATGCATTTCTGAGGCATAATTATGTCTTTAAAAATTACCGGCATACACTTGAAACTTTAATGTTATATTTTCATTATTTATCTGTATACGTTTACATGTATTTCGTTGTGTTTTGCTTTTGTTTGTTATTTGTTTAACAAAGAAGGTATCGTACATTACTCCATTGAATATCTTGTGTATAATTTGATGGTTGGGTTCATGCAATGCGATAATTTTGCTTTGGGTCTGTACGTTCACACATGTGGTATAATATGGGGGCAAAGGACATATTCGAATGATGGCCTGGTCAAATTTTTTAATAACTCAGACATGGTGTTAACTTCTGATATTTCTCTGTCATTGTATATCTTTCTTGTTTGTGTGTAGGAAATGAAAAGTATTTTTGGGTTTTTACCCGAAACTAAGCATTTTGGTAGCTTTGTATGTATTTCTGACTCTCCGAATGGAGGTGAAAAAGTTAAAAATCAAGCTTTGACAGTTGGCGCCAAACAAGTAAGAAATTTCAGATAAATTTTGTGAAAATCTAAACGTATGACAGACAGTTTATTGGTCATTTCTGAAAATGCCATAGCTTGCACTGCGTGTTCCTGATATTTTTAAAGGAATCGGGCGGATTCTGGAGTATGCTGCACCTTCATGAAGAGTATCCATATTTGTATATTTTAGGTGTGATTTTGGCTGGGTGGGGGAAAATTTAAATTGCTGTCAATCATTTTTTGAAGGAGCAATGCATGCAAACTATTATTTTCTTCAATGTATGTCATTTATCATTGAATAATGCTGTGCAACTGGTTATCTGCCTGTGAAACAGATTTTGAAATATCTGGTCACACTGAAATACATTTTTTTTCATTTTAGGTCCCCTGACCCCTTTGTATTTCTGGCTGTTTTCAAGTGTTTAATGAATATATACATTTTATATTTATCATTCATATTAATTTACTAAGACGGTATATACATGTATATACCTTATAAAATGCCTGTTCTGTTAAACATGAACAAATATTTTCCTTATTCAAAATGGCTTACATGATCAGAACATTGACTTTGTAGTGCTTCTTAAATTAATCGAACAATTTGTCATTTCAGTTATTTATAATATTTATCGATTTTCATTATTATTACATGTAGAGGGGCGTCTGTGACCAGATGGTTATGGTTGTTGACTTGAAACTACTTGTCCCTTACCGCTATGGGCTCAAATCATGCCAGAGCCACTGGATTTTTCATGTGAAGAAAAAGATATCCAGCTAGCTTACGAAAAGTCGGTGGTTCTACTCAGGAGCCCGGTTGTTGCCTGAAATAATATACGAATAGGCACCTGAGAGGCTGAGATGTTCCTCCACCAGTAAAGCTGGAAAGTCGCCATATATCCTTGAAAGTGTGTCAAACAGAAAAATAATTACATGTATTTTTACTGTCATAAATGAGCCGCGCCATGACAAAACCAACATAGTGCGTTTACGACCAGCATGGATCCAGACCAGCCTGCGCATCCGCTCAGTCTGATCAGGATCCATGCTGTTAGCTTACAAACCCTATAACAAGTAGAAAAACTGATAGCAAACAGCATGGATCCTGATCAGACTGCACGGATGCGCAGGCTGGGCTGGATCCATGCTGGTCACAAACGCATTAAGTTGGCTTTGTCATGGAGCGGCTCAACTATTTTTTATTATCGTCTATAGGAATTTGCGAGGAATCTACACAATCTCCAGAAGACGACGCAGGGGACTCGTCTGTATGGGGAATTGTGATTGGTTGTGTGGTAGCTGTAGTGTCTATTTGTTATAATCGGCATCTTTATCTACAAGAAACGTCACACCCCTCACAGTAGTAGCGCAGACAGAAACGCTGCTGGGAATACAAACATTGCCAGTTCAAATTCTTTCGCGCGCGAAAACCATGCATTTGATTCATTCCAGCAAAACCAGAATAATGGTGGTATTAATAGCGCGTATTATGACAATAGGCAAGCATATAT